TCCTAAAAATACTTTTAAATAATATAAACTTCAAAATAACAACAGTAACAATTATATTACCGTTAGATTGACATTTACAAATACTTCAGGGACTTCTTCAGGTGGGAGATTATAAGACAAGAACTTGGAGATGGTAGGGAAAAGTAAATATGTGGGTAGATCTGAACTGCATAAAAGATAGTATCTTACAGAGCTCAGAATATACACAAAATTAATATATATGACAAACACCTACATAGAAAGGTAGAGTATTCAAAGGGCCTGAATTATCTGGAAGGATTTTAGACTTAAAAACATCAAGGGGTAGGGAGAGAGCTGAGTGGACATGTACTTACTATGAAGCATGAAGACCTGAGTTTGGATCCCCAGCACCCATATAAAAGTCAAATGCAGTGGGCACACATCTGTAACCCCAGGACTGAGTTGGGGGTGGAGACAGATGGATCCCAGATGCTCACTGGCCTGCTAGTCTAGCCAATCAAAGTTCCAGGTTTAGTTAGAGACCTAGGCTTCAAAAACAAGGTAAAGGGGCTGAAGAGTTGGCTCAGCAGTTAAGAAAGCTTACTGTTTTTACAGAGGACCCAAGTTTAGTTGTCAGCATCCACAACAGGCAGCTCACAACCATCTGCAACTCCAGTTCCAGGGGATATGATGCCCTCTAGCTTCCTCTGGCAACTGTATACATGTGGTGCATATAAACTTATGGAAGCACATATATATATATATGAATAAAAATAATTTAAAAATCTTAAAAAAAATAAAGTGAAGATGCCAGGCATGGTGGCACACGCTTTTAATCCTAGCATTCAAGAGGCAAAGGCAGGTGAGTTCAAGGCTAGCCTGGTCTACATATTGAATTCCAGGCCAGACAGGGCTGCATGACTAACTGACTGACTGACTAACTAACCAACCAGCTAACTAACTTACCAGCTAACTAAACAACCAATGAACTAATGTACATGAAGAGTAATAAAGGAAGACACCCAATGTTGAACTCAGGCCTCTGCACACCCATGCAAATGTCTGGAGACACATGCATACAAAACACACACAGAGACACATCCATACATTATACACACATACACACATAATTTGGAAAAACAAAATTTTAAAGAATGCCTCTACATTCATTTTATTAAACAGCCAAACTGGACATAGTGATACATGCCTGTAACCCCAGCACTTAGGATGCAGAAGCAAGAGAAAAAAAAGCTTATGGTCATCCTTGGCTATGCAATGAGTTCAAGGCAGCTTGAACTCAAGGTTACATGAAGCCCTATCTCTAAGTACCAAAATTAATGAATGGACAGATGGATGAATATTTAAAAGCCAGAATCAGGATATTATCACCCCTAAACCTGCTTCCAAAGAAAGAAAAGAGCCAATACATGGGTATCAATATAAAAGTTCTGAAAATTTCAGGACCCGACATCTATTTTTTTGTGAAATCCTAATATTCTGAACTTTTCTATTTTTCTTACTTTGCGACAGGATCTTACTATATAGCCCAGACTAGTTTTGCATTCATTATATAGTGCAATCTGGCTTTGAACTTGTGGTGGTCTTCTTGCCTCATCTTCTTGAGCGCTGGGATTTATAGGTGTATACTACCATGCATGGCTCTAAACTTATCTTTGGGGGCCAGCAAGACGAACAATCAGGTACAACATTTGCTACACAAGCTTGATGATTTGAATTTAATCAAATCCTAAGAACCCAGGTAAAGGTGGAAGGAGAGAAATGACTGCCATAAAGTTGTCCTCTGGCCTCTACACGTGTCGTGGTATGTACATGCCTACATTCACACATCACACACACATATAAAACAATCATAGATCAAAATTTTAAAATATCTTTGTTCAAATAAATAAGACAATATTTCCAAAAGAAAACAGATTTTTACAACAAAAAACTCCCTAACATAAAATAGGAAGCCCTCAATTAAAGGATTGACTAGCTTATTGGATTACTCAAATTGATGACACAGACCAAGTAAACTGTATCACTACTTATAATATAGTCCATGTGAAGTTCATGATCTACCTACCGAATCAGCTGCCAAATGGTTATTTGAATTGGTAAACTCAGATACCAACTCATCAGCTACTTCATTGTATGATGTTGTACCTTTCCGCTGAACTTTCTCACACACTTTCATTGAAAAGTGCCTTAAACCTTTTCCGTTTTTATCTCCTTTTTTGCTTCGTTTACTAGAAAATAAAAAAGAATTTATGAAAAAAACTTCATACCCCATTATACTTAAGAGACTTCCTTCTTTTATAAACCTCTAGAAGACATTACAAGAAGACAACTGATTTTTTGCTTCAAGTAAAAAAAAATTTTTTTTTAAATTTTCAACTTTAATTTTTATCTTAAGAGCTTAATAATATAGAGTGCTTTTCTATAATGTCTTGTAGTTAGTAAATATTGACAAATTACTATTACATGCTATTTTTAAAGAATATTTATTATTTTTATGTGTATGTGCATATTGCCTGCATGTAGGTAAGTGCACCTGTGTCGTGCAATGCCCGCAGACAGAAGAGGCTGTCAGACCCCCTGGAACTGGTGTTGCAGACAGTTATTAACTTCCATGTGGGTGCTGGGATTCGAGCCTGGGTCTTCTGCAAGAACAGCCAGTGTTCTTAACTGCTGAGCCATCTCTCCAGTGCTATTATAACACTGGAAATAAATTTATAAAAACTTACAATAACTCTTGACTTTCTAGTACTTATAAATTAGTTAATATTTTTTTTCTTTGATATTAAAACTATCATAAGCCAGGCATGGTGGTGCATGCCTTTAATCCTAGCACTTGGGAGGCAGAGACAGGTGGATCTCTGTGAGTTCAAGGCCAGCCTGGCCTACAAAGCAAGTTCCAGGTCAGCCAGGGCTACACAGTGAGATGCTGTTTCCAAAACAAACAAAAACTATCACAGTTCTCAATCATTAAAACTAGGGGCATCAGGTTAGTTCTAATAATAGCTGAGCATCAAATATATGTAAGAACTGTTTTAAGGACTAGAGGTATAAAAACTAAGGCAAATTGTTAAACAGACATATGATGACAGGTAGTTCCAAAGGTAAATGTCAAGTCAGAGTTACATATAAGGTTCTATGGGAAGTAAGGGGGACAGCTATTTTTTAATTTTTATTTTATGTGCATGAATGTATTGCCTGCGTGTTGTGCAGGGCCCATGAAGGTCAGAAGAGGGCATAGGATTCCTGGAACTGGAGTTACGGATGGTTGTCAGCTGCCATGTGGGTGCTGGGAACTGAACCCAGGTCCTCTGCAAGAGCTGTCGGTACTCTTAACCACTGAGGCATCTCTCCAGCCCTAGTTATTCTTTTTTATTTTTTTCTTAAAGATTTATTTATATTTATTTATGTGTATGTCTCTGTGTGAGATCCCCTGGAGCTGGAGTCACAGGCAGTTGTGAGCCACCTGACATGGATGTTGGGAATCGAACTTAGGTCTTCTGTGAGAGCAGCAGAGTGCTCTTAACCATTGGGCCATCCGTTTGGCTCCAGAGGGACAGTTATTTTAACTCACAGGAAGATGACTTGTGGGGAGAGTCCTAAGTAATGAGTAAAGGTCAAGTGGAAGTTAGGAAGGCTTTTAGGCAGAAGCAGCAGCAAACATAGGATAGATAAAAAACAGTTAATATATGTGAAAGACTTAAAAATAGCAGTGTGAGGTTTCCCAATACAAAGTGCAAGGTGAGCAATGACAAATATGATAAAGAGCGAGACCCTTAAACCCCAAGCCTAAGAATCTGGGCTTCATGTCATCATATTTACTGGCCTAATTTGATTTATTCATAAATTATTTACACATTCTACTATGTTAAATGCAAGAAACAGGCACTAAACATAAATGCACCCCAGGGCCTGCCATACTTCACAGACTACTACTGAAATGTGGTGAAACCATTAAATGATATGAGTTGGACAGTGAGACACTGAAGTAGACAGACATTCTTTTAAATATTTTATTTATTATTTTTATGTGTATGTGTGTATTGTCCGCATGTAGGTAAGTGCACCCGTGTCGTGCAATGCCCACAGAAGACAAATGAGGCTGTTGGATCTCCTAGAACTGGAGTTATGGACAGTTGTTAGCTGCCATGTGGGTTCTAGGATTCGAATCCGGGTCTTCTGCAAGAACAGTCAGTGTTCTTAGCCTCTGAGCCATCTCTCCAGCCCCAAGAAAATCTTATGCTAAAGTGGAAGGTGAATTTATGGGGGAAAGGAAGTGAAAGAAAGAGCAGCTAAGAAGCTACTACAATAGCTGAATCAAGTATGAGAAGTCCTGAAACGAGGTCAGCAGGGTTGAGGTCAGGTCAGCAGGGTGGAGGAAGAAGAGACAGAACTACAAAAGCTGAAAGGAAAAAAGCAGTAGAAATAATATCTGACTCATTTTGAAAGTAAGAAACAAAGAAATGGCTGTCTGAATTGAGTACTTAAAATACATACTGAGGGGTTGGTAAGATGGCTCAGTGGGTAAAGGCACTTGCCAAGCCTGGTAAACTGAGTTTGAGCTGGGACCCACATAGTAGAAGGAAAGAATTGACTCCAGAAAGTTGTCCTCTGACTTCCACATGTATGCAGTGGCACATGTGCACTCACATACATAAATACACAATAAATCAATGTAACAAAATTTTTTTAGGGGCTGAGAGCTGATGGCTCAGCAGACAAGAGCACATACTACTTTTACAGAGGACCTGAGTTTAGTT